AAGAAAGAAAGAAAGAAAGGAAAAAAAGTTCCAGAACTCCTTCTGATTGTATGACTTGGGTCATGAGCCAACTTTGAACCAACCAGTGTGGCCAGGGCACTTCAGGCCACTGATTGGCCAGGAATAAGCCACATGTTCTGCCCTGGGGCTTGCCTGAGTGTGGGAGAGAGGACATTCAAAAGGAAAGCTGGGGCCGGGTGGCTCACACCTGTAATCCCAGCTACTCAGGAGGCTGAAGCAGGAGAATCGCTTGAACCCAGGAGGCAGAGGTTGCAGTGAGCTGAGATCACACCACTGCACTCCAGCCTGGGCAACGAGCAAGACTCCGTCTCAAAAAAAAAAAAAAAAAAAAATGACATTGCTTCAGGGCATTACTTCCAAGAAGAGGATGAAGGGATGGCTGCTGGTGGCAAAAACAATAGATGTCCCCTGGGACCTTGGAGAGCCAGGAATCCACCAGCATCTACTTTCGGTAAGGGATCTGCTCCCTGCCCAGAGCCTCACAGTGGGATCCCCACATGAGCTCATGTAAAATGAGGTTGCTTCAAGTGACCACCTGGTCCTTCTTGTTGCCGTGCGTGACGGCCTTGATAGAGAGCCCACGGGAGCACCCCCCCCCCTTGAAGCCGGGTTCCTTGGCTGTGCTCAGGACTTCATGGAAGCCACACCAGTCACTGGCTGCTAGGCCTTCTCTGCAAATCATGCATTGTCATTCACCCAGTGTATAAGTAAGGTCAGTGTGTCAGGCAGCCTTAAATTGTTTTAGCCATGTTTCCTAATCTGCATTTCCATCACCTCTCTGAGCTCAGGCCAGACCCATGAGCATAGGCTGAGCTATCCCGAGAGAAGTAGCTCAGAGCACAGCTCTGCCCGCTTCCCTGGCTGGCTCTGCCCATGCCTCTCCATGGGCTTGGGGTACAGGGAGGACTGGTAGCCACACTGCAAAACTGACCACACTTGCATCAAGGAGATGGGCTCCTGGGCAGACAGGTTGGGCATAGCAGGGGCCGGCCTGGCCTTTGAGGCTCAGCCAGACTCAACCAGGCTCCAAATAACGCAGGGCCCAGGGAGTCCAACCCCATGAAGCAGCTCCCACCAAGAGGAGACCACACTGCGGCCTGGGCCCTGAGGCAGGCAGGGCTGGCCTGTATCTAGGACACAGGCATCCGACCCACAGCAGTGGCCAGGTAGAGGGAGGCTAGGCAGCAAGGCTGGGGAAGGACTGAGATCCGGTTGGAGGTATGAACGTCGGAGGCTGAGGGTCCTGACCCCGCCCAGGGCTTGTCATGGCAGCAGAGGAGAAGCAGTGCTGGATACTGGGAGTGTGTAGCCGACAGCCAAGAGAGAGCCAGGAGGTAGAGCTGCAAGCCCCTGACTCTTTGCCTCTCATTCTAGTGACAGAGGGCCGTGGGATTGCACTCAGGGTAGCAGTCCCAGTGAGGGATGGTGGAATTCTAGTGAGAGCGCGTGGCGTCTAGTGAGAGCACGTGTATTCTAGTGAGGGACCGTGGCATCTAGTGAGGGTGCGGGGCATCTAGTGAGGGTGCGGGGCCTCTAGTGAGGGCGCGTGGATTCTAGTGAGGGCGCGTGGATTCTAGTGAGGGCGCGTGGATTCTAGTGAGGGATCGTGGCATCTAGTGAGGGCGGGTCGCGTCTAGTGAGGGCGCATGGATTCTAGTGAGGGATCGTGGCATCTAGTGAGGGCGCATGGAGTCTAGCGAGGGCACGTGGATTCTAGCGAGGGCACGTGGATTCTAGTGAGGGATCGTGGCATCTAGTGAGGGTGCGGGGCATCTAGTGAGGGCGCGTGGATTCTAGTGAGGGTGCGTGGATTCTAGTGAGGGTGCGTGGATTCTAGTGAGGAGGCGTGGATTCTAGTGAGGGATCATGGCATCTAGTGAGGGTGCGGGGCATCTAGTGAGGGCAGGTGGCGTCTAGTGAGGGCGCATAGATTCTAGTGAGGGCACATGGAGTCTAGTGAGGGCAGGTGGCGTCTAGTGAGGGCGCGTGGCGTCTAGTGAGGGAGTGTACCATCCTACATGAGGCCCTTGCTTCCCTGTGTGCTGTACTTGGCGATGGAGAGAACTCAGGAACAGGCCTGCCCTGGCAGACACCATGCACACCATGCATTTGAACAGAGCTGGGCAGGAGCGCATGTCGCCGCAGGGAATCCCAAGGCCTTCAGGAGTGGAAGAGTGGACCCCAGCCTCTAGCTCTTGTTCCATGTAAGAGTTAGTCCCTGGGAGGGGATGTCAGTTGCCCAGAGGGAAGGCCTGGGAAAGGACTACTGACTGTGACATCTGACTGGGGTTCCAGCAACAGAGAGGGAGAAAGGTCTTGCTGGTGGGTCAGGGTGTGGAGGTGACTGAAGTTACCTACCTTGGGACCAGGGCCCACCGAAGGGTTTTTCCTGGACTGAACAGAATCCTGGGCAGAGGAACGCTTTGCAGTTCCTCTGTATCCACCAGAGGGCACCCATTCCCTGCTAAACTTTTTACCTGGGCTCCAGTGGGAGGCCATTCAGGGACTTTGGGAGTGGGCAAGGCGACTCTGGGCCCTGAAGCATACCCTCAGGCAGTGGCTAATTATGTGCCAGGCTCAGGACTAAGGGCAATTGTGTTCTGCTGGCAGCAGCAAATCCTGTTCCAGGCCAAAACTTTGGCGGATGAGGCAGCTCGGGCAGCAACTCTGCTGATGTCGGTGTCTCGGGGCAACCCAGCAAGGCCGTCCTGGGCCCTGGCTCATGCTTCATCCTATTGTTCCCATTTTGCAGAGGAGAGGATTGAAGCCCACAAGGTTCAGTTCCTTGCCTCGTGGTAACGTGGCTGCCCTGTCTGTGTGCGACCAGGGCTCAGCTCCTACCCTTTCAGGGGGCGTCGCAGTAGTGGTTCTGAGCAGGACTGCAGGCTGAGGGAGCTGGGTTAGACCTGCTCTCAGCTCCAAGCACTGTCTGTCCCATGTGGCCTTCCTGCATGGACTTCACCTGCATTCCTGCCTTAGAGACATCCTCCTGGGCACCAAGCTTGGAAACATGGTGGTACTGAGCTGCCCTGGGCGGCAGGACAGAGAGGAGCCAGTGTTTTGGCTCCGGACCCTCCCTTTCTTCCCTGGATGAACCAGGATGCAGACACCCAGGCTCTGTAGGGGGCGTGGGGTAGACACAGGTCAGAGGGTCCCTCCTACCAAAGCTTCAACCTGCCCCAATCCCGGTGGCAGCTGTCTGGGGACATGCTGGACAGGCGGCCTGAGCGGCCCGTGAGGGTGACAGCTCCAGCCAGAGGACAAGGTCCCCCCAGAACTCTGGCACCCGGTGCGAACCACAAAGGCCAGGGAGGAGCATGGAATGCAGCGGACACGGCGTTGAAGGAGCCGGTATGCTGAGGGGCAGGCGGAGGGAACTGGCCTCTTGCTGTCTTTACACACATTTCCCTTCTTCCCAGTCTCCCCTCAACCCAGGCCAGACCTCTGCAGACACCTGTCCTCTCTGGCGAGTTTTCCTGCAGAAACCCCTCGATGGCTCCCCCAGGTCCTATGTCGGTAGCAGGCCCACTGGCAGCACCTGTCGCAACCCCTGCAGCTGTCATTGGAGGATCCCAGAAGATTCCTGGTGAGTGCTAATCCTCACCTCCACCTCTGAGGGCTTGGGCTGAGGTGGCGCTTCCTCCAGTTGGCTGTCCTGACCCACTGCTCACAGCCCTGTGTGAAAATCCAAACAGCATAGTAACTTCTCCAACTGTGTTCAGGGGGCAGGCAGGGTGGGCCTGTCCAGCACCTAAGGGACCTGGAGGCCAAAGGTTGGATGACAGCCAGGCTGCACCAGAGCCCTGGAAAACCAAAGCGCCGGCAATCCTGAGGGGCCAGCAGATATGACGTGCCACCAGCAGGGGGAGCCACACCGTGGAGCTAAATGGGTAAGGCCTGCAGAAGCAAAGCCACCCCTTGGTGGCATCTTGGGAAGCTTGGCAAGTTCTCTTGGGCCTGTGCCACCACCACCCTGCACTCCACGGACGGGCAGTCCCATGAGTAGCTTCTTCTTCCAACATCCAGGACTTATACCCCCAGCTCCAAGGAACCAGGGTCCCCATGTGGCACCCAGTGATTGAGTCCTCATCCCCAGTTAAGGCTTCTTGGGGTAATCACCGACTGCCCCACAAGCAGCCCCCACAGTGGCAGCTCAGTCCCTGAACACCCACCAGACTGTGGTGGCACCTGTCACATCCAACTGCTTCAACCCACTGTCCCCAGGATCATCCCCCCTCCCTCCTTATCCTTGTGCCCTGAATGTCTAAAGAAACTGAAACAGACAAACCAGGCTTTGAGACAGCTTTGTTAGAACAACTCAGCAAAATAAAATTCCTGTTTATTGTTGGACAACATTGTTTCACACATACATCAAACAGGCCAAAAAAAATAAACAGCAACTTCATAGACAAAAAAGGAAAAAAAGGAAACCTTTTAATCTTTGGCCTTTTAACCATCTCATACAAACCAACTACTTATAGTACAGCTAAGTACATACACAACAAAGGTACTGGAATGCTCGGAATACGATTGTTTTTCTGTTGTTGTTTTTCGCTTTTTTTTTTTTTACAAGGTTTTTTTTCTCCTTTATAATGAACATGGTCACACCACAAGTAAAGTCAGAAGTAGGACAGAGAACGCTCCGAAGGCTGGTTTGGTCATCCGAGATCATTAAAAATGGCTGACCCTAACAATATGTACAAAAATATAAAATGTAAATAAAAAATACAAACAAATTTCCTTTTTAAAGTACTTTTAAGAAAAAAAGCAGGGCCCTGGAAGTTTTGGTTCTTTTTTCCTCCCCTGTTGCAAATTCTCATGGTTTGGGTTGGGTAGTGGAGAGCGCGTCGCGTCATCTGCGGGTGGCACTGCCCGCGGTGGGCGGGCGGGCCGGCCTCTCTACTCGAAGGTGACCACGTTTAGATTCTGAGACGGGAAGTGGAGGGTGAATAGGTCACGGCGGCCTTTTTTTTGTTTTTTTTTTTTAGTTTAACTTTTCCTTTTTTTTGCTGTCTAATCATCCTCGTCGGTCTTCTGCTTCTTGGTATCGACATCATCATCCTGGGCAGAAAAAGACTGTCAAGGCCCCTCCAACCCAAGTGGCCCTATCCAGCCCACTGCCTCAGTTCCCACCGGCAGACCAAGGACCAGGGACCCCCCCAGGCCCACAACCCAAGGCCTCTATGAAGTTGGGCCCAGGCCTGTTCCTTCCTATCCTTAAGATTCAGGACCACACAATGCCCACCTATGAAGTCAGAATCATTCTGTCCATGGTTTGAGTGCCTCAGGCACAGACTCAGCTAGAGGCAGGAGAGGGAGCCAAGATGCCAACCCTCCTTTTCAAGCTGGAACCCACCTCATCATCTTCAGCTGCCCGCTTGCCTGTAGCAGACTCAGCTTCCTCATCTTCATCTCCATCCTCCTCCTCACCTGGAGAGATTCAAACACCAGGTAAAGCACACTGCCCTCCTGTGGCTCCTGGGAAATCCCAAGAAGTTGTCGGGGACCACCCGGCTCTGCCTCTACTGCCTGCAACTGGGCCAGTCAGGGCACCCATACCCACTGCACAGGTGGGCATCTCCAGAAGACAAGAGGTCCAAGCAGCTGGACCCCAAGAGGCGAGCCAACAGATCGGTGGCTTTCAGAGCTGCACGAAAGACACTTTGTGAGAGTGAGTGGGTATGGGCACAGCTCCATGTCAGGGAGACCCAAGTCTACAGGTGGGAGGCCCAGGACCATGTGGTCCACTGGCCCAAAGTATCATGGTCCCACTCCCAGAAGGCCCCACTCCTTCCCATTCTGCCAGACAAGACCAGGAAATAGTACCACCTGAGAAAGAGGCAGAGTACTCACCATCACCTTCTTCTTCCTCCTCCTCTTCCTCCCCACCTTCTTCCTCTTCTTCATCTACCTCATTGTCAGCCTCCTGCTCCCCATTTTCCTCATTCTCCTCGACAGAAAGCAGGCCAAGTCATTATCAACTGACCCAAGGCTGGGCAGAGTGGCCACCGATGCATCTACAGCCCAGCCCAGCCCTCCCCAGAGACCCTTTCTCCAGTGAACACCCCCAGGCTCCATAGTGAAACCTGCACATTAACTGCTCTAGGGGCTCAGGCTTCCCCTACCTTGAGCCAAGTCCAAACTCAGAGCAGGCAGCTCCTCTGAACCTATTCTTGTTCATGCGCTGCTCAAAAGGTTTTTATTTAAATGGCAATAATCGCGCTTCAGGTAAACCTCATTAGCTACAATACTGCCACTGTGCAAAACTATACATATGTATGTTTTAAGTAGAGCAAGAAAAACTGTGGGGCAGTAGCTGCCACGGCTCAGGAGTAAGGCGGACACTCACCGCATTCCCGTTAGCAGGGGCGTCTCTTCCATTTTCCGCCTCTTCAACAACTTCCTTCTTCTCCTTCAAGTCCTTCATAAGAGAAGAAGGAACCAGTAAATCTTCTAAGCAACCCAGGGCAGGCAAAGACGCTGACAACTAACTACAGGTCCATAGGGCTGCTCTGTCCATCCCAGGAGTCGCATGCGACATGTGGAGAAGGACCTGACGCCCCTGCGGGACTAGTGTCTCCTGCTAGTCCAGTGGAAGGAACGCCCGCGGGAGCGTCTGTGATCGAGTTTCCCATCCTCTGAGACCCGCTACAGCGGGTTCCCACTGCCCCCTGGCGCTTCCTAGGAGCCATGTGGCGCCGCAGCTCCAACCCGTCAGGTCGGGTGGAGGAGGGACGAGCCCGGGACACTCACGCCCATCAGCCTCCTTCCAAGTGCAGAGAGCTCCGCCCCGCGAGCCGTCTTGGAAGGCGACAGGTTATGTTCCAGAAATAAATAAGGCTAGGAGGGAGGAGCCTGCGCGCAGGGAGAGCCCCACCAGCGCGCCAGCCTGGGAAAGCCACTGAGGCCGCACCGACTGGCCCCAGCTACAAGCCCCGGCCAGGACAGGTCGCTGAAGACACCAAAGCGCACCGAGCCCCCAAATCTGACCGCTGTTCAACAGGCCGCAGACTGCCGCTTGGCGGTGCCCTAGGACGCGGCCTGCCGCCCACTCAGAAGCGCTGCCTGGAGCGACCAAGTCCCGGCCTCCTCGCGGCGGTTCGGGGTCCGGACCGTACCTCAGGGATGGGACTCCACCTGTGATCTAAAAGGCAATGCCGCCCAGGGTGTCCCTTAACTTTTTCCGCACCACACGGCCGCCAACACCAACAGGCGTCCCGCGGCCGGGACTGCGGGAGCCCCTCAGCCGCTGTCCACGAGCGTCCCCGGGCCCACCTGTTTGCCCTCTCCGTCCTATCCGCCCGGCTCCGCGGACCCTGGTGCCGCCCGCTCTCGCCCCCTGGCGGCCGAAGCCCCGGGGAGCAGGTGGGGGCAGGGAGGTCGCGGCGCGCAGGCGCGCATCCCCCGCCCGGCGGGCTTTGCGCGCGGGCCTCAGGACGCATCGCGCGCAGAGAGCACGTGGCCTGGGACAGCCGAGTGCGTCCCCGGCCTTGGAGACTCCGGGCCGGCAAGCAAAGCTCGCTGTGCCATGCGCCCGAGTGACGCCTCAGGCAGCGGGACTCTAAACTCGACGCCCCCCTGCTGCCACCCCGGCAGGCAAGATTCGCGGGCCTGAATGACTGCATTTGGCGGGCAAAGTCCTACGGGAGATCGCCCCGAAATCCAACCGGTTGCGTTAGTCTGAAACTGTCGGAGATGCGCTCTCCGGCTACTCATCGCCCTCGCGATAAATCATCTTTTGGTGCTTCGGGAAAAATGGAACACCGAGGCCCAACACTAGGAACGGTTTTGTCCCCCCATAAACTGGTTCCCGGACTGAGCCCAGAAGGGGCCACCAAGAGCCCCTGCGGAGATCCGGCGCCTGAGTTCGGCTCTGCCAAGGGAGTCGCCCCTGGGAGAACCAGAGGTGACGCCAGGGGCACAAGGGTTAAAGAAACGCCAAGGTGACTTGCGCCAATCCCCACAGGGGCAAAAGGGGCGCGAACGAGGGCCGAAGGATTAACAAAAAGCCAGTCCGTCTGAGACCTCTGCGCTCCCACCGAGAGCGGAGACCGTATCGAGGGCGGACAGCGGGACCAAGGCGGCGCTGAGAACAGGAGCGGAGCCGCGCAGGACCTCATAGCCATGGGCGGTTAAACCCGCCTCGGGTCCCGGGTACCCCCCCAGTTCGGCCCTACCACCGGACTGTCGCGGCCGCGGTGTTGGTCCGCGTCGCCCCGAGCTGCGGCACACACGGTGCTCGCGGGCAGCCGCCGGGGGCGCCTATAGTCGCCGTGGCCCCGCGCTTCACTTTCTCTTTCCTCCCCCTACGACGCGTGGGCTCGCCTCCACAGCCAAACCCGGCACCGCGGTTGCATGACTGAAGCTGGGCGGCTGCTCCCGGCGCACTCACCTCGAAGGGCGCCCACCCCCGCCTCCCCGGGCGCCCAAAGCCGATAAGCCCGTCACACCTCCGCGAGGACGACCGACGTCGCGGCCCTCCGGCCGGCCACCCTATCCGCCTTATCGGGGCTTAGTCTAGATAAACCACCTCGGTCCGCTGCAGGGCGCAAAACCGGCGGCCTGGAGCCTAACAAAGAGGAGCGCGGCCGGCGAGCGCTCGCAGCCACTTCCCGCGGCCGGCCCGCGCCCCAACATGCGCCCCCCAGCACTTCCGATTCCCAACGCGCTCGAGTTTCAAAGTTATTTCCGTGCGCCCGGCGGGCCGACGACCCCCAGCCAGGTCCTTCTCCTCCCGCCGCCACTCGGACGGCTCAGACTAGTTTCGAGAGCACTGAGCCAGCCTCCGCGCCTAACCCTCGGCTCACTCCCCGACGGGCATCACGTCTGCCCGCGGCAATTCCCGCCCCCTCCCCCGCACCACACAAAGAGTGGGCTGCCTGAGGGCACCGCGCCGGGGGTGAGCCGTTTCACCACAAGAGGAAGCAACAGCGGGCTTGAAGCAGTCCAGCTGTTGCGCTCCAAACATGGCCCGGGCGGCGGCGCGCGGACCCCGAGGGGGCGGGCGGCGTCCAACCTCACCTTAGTGGTGATTTCGGAGCTGGTGTCTACCGCTGCGTCTGACATGGTGGGGCACGCCGGTGATCCGATGCGGGGGATTTAAAAAAAAAAAAGGGAGAGTTCAAGGACTCTGGCGATTAAGCTGCCGGAGTCCGCGGCGGCGAAGGAGGCGCGCGGCGGAGGCGGCTGCGGCGAACAAGAAGTCGGACGAGGAACAATGCAAAGATGGCTTTTCAGAGCAGCCAGTGGGGGACTCACGCGGCGCCAGAAGCTTTAATATAGATTAGTGGGCGGCGCTCGGCTTCCCATGCCCAGACGCTATTGGCTGAGCACAGGGAGCGGGCGATCGTTCATTGGCTCGATTCCGAACAATGGACAAGCGTGCTTAAAGCGGCAGTGCCCTGGCGCGTCCCGCGCTGCGCAGTCGCCGGTCGCACTGTCATTCAAGGCCGGAGTTTGTCGGGGGTCTCAGCGACGCCGAAGCCGCGGGGGAGGGGTGCGCGGGCGCGTTCCGGACGCGCGCTCCCGCAGCTGTTTTGCTGGGGCTGCTGACGCAGAAAGCCAAAGCGCGGCAAAGCTGCCCGCCCAGCTCTCTTCCCTCCCCCTCTCGCCCTCCCCGCGACTGCTCGGAAGGAGGGGGAGGGAAGAGGGGGCGGTGGCGGGCGCACGACCGCTGCCACAGCGCGGGGGAGGGGAAGGCGGGGTGCTGGGCCGCGCTCGCCCCGGGCGGTGCCCAGCCCAGTGCCCGCGGAGGTGCCCGCCCCCCGCGCCTGGGCGCCTTCGATCAAGTACAGTCTCAGTGCAAGTGGACGGAAGCCCCACGACGAGCAACAAGGTCACGAGGCGGAGACCCGGGCACCTGGGCCGCACCGTCCCTCTCCTACGCCCTCGCGCCCTCCCAGGGCAGTGCACCCCTAGTCCCGTGGGCAGGTGACCCTGCTTGCCCACCACCAGGTCCGACGTTCGTCGGCCAAGCCAGTCAACAAGCGGGCACCGTACCAAGCACACAGGGATTCATGCATCAAGGAGACTCGAGCGGGACAGCCCGTGGGCCCCGCAATGCGTAGCGGTCCCTCACTCTAGGGCTCTGGTTAGGGTCTGTCCCGAGCGGTCACTGCCGTCGCGACAGTCTCAGGCAGCCTCTTTCCAGCGGCCCGCCGGGCCATCGAGTCTACCCTCCCACCCCACTGCTGGACTACGATGGGCATATGGACATTGCAGAGTTACTCGGGGAAAATAATCGTGTCTTGAGCCAGTTGGACTAATCCTTGGGGTTTAGGGGGCCATTTAGAGAAATTTGGGGGACCATTTAGAGAACCATGCGGAGGCCCGAGAAAGATGAGCATCAAGACGCCACACTCAAGATGGCGCCGAGCTCGGCAAGTGTGGCGTGACGTAGCCATCTAGCTCACGTGGGCGATCCAAGAACGACAGGCTACGCCGGCCTTATTGCCACCACACTTGGCTGTAGAACTAAGAAATCCACTGTGTGGGAAAAACAAGAATAGGTAAAAAGATATGCCTGAAATTTACCTGTGCCACACACAAAATGGCGAAAGGGAGCGTTCGTCCCTGTGCTGCCAAAGGGGGGCGCCCGACACGGAAGGCGGGACTCCAGAGAGACGAGCGCACATTGGCCGAGAGTGGCGGGCGAACACAAAGTTGACGCTTTGCGTACTGCCATTGGCAGTTCCTGCCGTCTCTCTCTCGGGTACCGCCGAACTGGGAATGAGGAAAACCCGGAGTGTAGGATCGGGCAGGGCGGACGATGCCAAGTCCAGCCAAGCTTGCGCTCGGGGCTAGAAGAGAGACTGAGTCTCCCTTCTCGGTTTCATTAGGTAATGGGCGAGATGGCTCCATCCCCACAGCGGGGCTTTGCTGAGCTTAGCACGCACACTCCCGGCGGGGAGGAGGCGCGCAATGCCGAGCGCCACCCCGTCTCCCGCACGCATCCGGCCCGCATCCCTGTTCCCAGGTGCCCGTCTGGCCGCTGCACTGTTGGCCTTTCCCTAGCGAGTTTTACTTTAGGAAGAAGCCCGGGCTCCCAATACTTTGGCCTGAAGAAACGTGGGGCGGATGCCAGGCAGGGCGTGGATACCGCTCCACCACCCGCTGCCCAGCCGTCACCCACCGGTGCGGCGGCGAAGGAACGCCCGCTGGGTCTCCGCCCTGCCCCCAGGCGCCCCAATGGCTTGAGGTGGCATTCTCCTCTGGGCAGGCGCGCCCCAATCCTGGGGACTCTCACAGAGCTGTTCTGGAGAACCATGCTTCTCAACTCTTTGTCCGTTCCCCTCCCTCCTACCGCCAGTCTGTCTTGACCGCCTCTTAGACCTGGGGCGGCCCTTCTCAGAGAGGAAGGGCTCCTCGGCCTCAGCCCCCGTGACCCCCTCCTTTGTTTCACATTCTCAGAGAGTTGGAGGGATTATGCGTCTCATAAACAGGGAGACAGAGCTCCTTCCACCTGCGGTGCATCCATTAAGTTCCAGTTACCCTCGAGGGGATTGTTTTTCCACAAAACCTGGATGCAGTGAGAGGCTTGCCTGTACCACCTCTAAGCATCCATCCAGGCTTCCCCCTAGTCTGGATGGTGGCCTTCGGGCAGTAGCCTGTGTCCACAGCTGAAATCTGGACTTGACAATTTTGGATTCAGGCCGTTGTGGGAGCGGGAAGGTCAAACACCCAGGAGGAACTGATGAATGTGAATTTCCCTCTAAGAACTGCTTTGCGTGACATTCCCATGCAGGTGGCTTTGCTACAAGTGGGTGAGGAAGACTCATGCCCACTGGTTCCAGACCTACCACTTAAATTTCCCAGACACTCACCGAATGGCCGCTGAGTACATGGCAGTGAGCCTTTGTCAAATGCTTCATTTTCATGTATAAGGTGGGTAGGAGTTATGGAGTTGAACCATATAAAACATGTTTATGTAGGTCAAAAGCAACTGAAAATCAACACATTTACAGGTTCAATCTCTGATATAACTCTCCTTTTAACAAATCATAAAGGCCGGGCGCGGTGGCTCAAGCCTGTAATCCCAGCACTTTGGGAGGCCGAGGTGTGTGGATCACGAGGTCAAGTGATCGAGACCATCCTGGTCAACAGGGTGAAACCCCGTCTCTACTAAAATACAAAAAATTAGCTGGGCATGGTGGCGTATGCCTGTAATCCCAGCTACCCAGGAGGCTGAGGCAGGAGAATTGCCTGAACCCAGGAGGCGGAGGTTGCGGTGAGCCGAGATCGCGCCATTGCACTCCAGCCTGGGTAACATGAGTGAAACTCTGTCTCAAA